CACTGTTGTGGCGCAGCAGTAAGTAGCCTGACTATACTTTACTAAACACCTTCCATACTTAGCACCTATACGTGGCATCGAACAAGAAGCCAAATATAGCAATAACCAGGGCAATTGACAGTGTGAACACTATCTACACTTTAGTTTTAATCGCCTCTCCGTCTCTCTACGAATTTGCCACCGCCTGTGGATCAGGATTGCGTTAGCAAAGCAGAACGATATGGAGGCAAGGCTGCAGCCAGGCTATTTCCTCCTAAAGTGAAACATCGACATGTACGTATAAGGTAGACTATGCCGCGGCTATAGTCAATATGGGGTGATAGTAGCTAGATAGACGCGGCATAAGCTCACCACCCCTGAAGTAAAAAGGAATCACGAGTCACACGCCATCAGATCGGAGATATTCCCCAGATAAGCGGGAGCATCGCACTATAGCAGCCAACATTGCGCCTGGGCAGTGACTATTGGCCCTGCACACCATTACCACAATTGTGCCGAGTATCAGTGCACTTCGATAGAAGATAGCTAGCTAGGAGTGGGCATTGAAGAAGGTGGAGAGCTTGACTGATACCCGCCACTGACCTAGGTTGCCAAGGGGAGGAGGGGTCGGCGCTCGGTCAATAATTCACAAATGTGGATGGGGTATATCCTATCTATCTACCTGGCGCCTTCGTTAGCATTGATTCGAGTCATATCTTGGTTTCTCTTCCCCTCTATCTTTGGCCTACAGGTGAAGGAGCCATGGTTCCATGGGAGGGACATGTCCCAATTCGGTAAGATGCTGGAGGCGCAGAGTGACTAACAGCCTGCTAGATCCGCCGTGTCGGGGCGAGGAGGAGAGGGGGAGAGCAAATGAACCTGGTACGTATAGCCTTGTGCGCAGGCTTGTCTGTGCTCCCCTGTACTCCTCTTTTTCTTTTTTGGTCCTCGCTAATTTAACCTATTTTTCCATTGGTTCCATCGATCTGGACACAGCATCCCTTGGTCGGCCGTAGCACCGAGGAGGAAGTTGATGGGTGATGAGTTTAGGGGGAAGTGCTAAAGTAGTCGTCGTCCAAGACCCGTTGGAAACTGCTCCATTCTGGGAAATTTGCACTTTACCAGACACGGGGCCAGTTATGGGCTCCCTCCCCCACCATCACCGGGACCAGGTACCGGTCTGGTACCGTGCGGTACGTATGGTAATGCGCGCGTATGGATGGGTCGGGTTGGGTTTATCATGCATGCACCATCATGCACCTACATACTTAGGGCACATCAGACATTGACTAGTTAGATGTATCTATCTTCCACTCTTCCAACTGGTCTGATATTCTCTGACCTCATCACTGGCGTCGGGTTGATTGCGCCGCGGACTGAATACTCCGCGGTAGTCTTGGTCCCTTGGCCCTGAGTTTGGCCCTTTCTCCCCTTGAGGGGACGGACTGACTGCCCTTGGATACTAACTACTAACTACCTAGGCATGGGATGGTCGAATTCTGTAGCCTATCTGTACCTTTTTTGGAATCATTTGCTTTAGACCAATATGTTGCCAGTTATATATGTTTACTATTGGCCCCATGTCGTTCTTGTGTCTCCTGTTACTTTGTACCTGACAGGGACTACTTACTTACTTTACTACCCAGTAAATACCAGGTACTGGTGGAAAGTTAAGTTCTTTTCAAGCGACTACATTTCCAGTAGTGTTCACGACCGTGGGAACGGTAAACAATGGTACGAATCGGTTCCTATCAGAACGCTAAATCGGCCAACCCGCCATGCACCCTTTTTTAACATCGAACTGGAGCCTTTCCGACAAGACCTCTGCCCCCCTCAAGCTCTCCACCTCCCGACTCCGAGGGCTCGACTAGTTCACTGGGTGTATGCTCCGTGAAGGTCCAGTGGCTACGGACCACTCCTTTTCGCTCCAATGATGTCTTGCTAGTTGGGCTACTAACTCCTAACCTTTCCTAACTCCTCCTAAGCTCACTCGGCCGCCCCGCCCCGTATTATTCCTGTTATTATTATTTCTCGTCCTTATTATTAGTATTATTTGTCCCTCCATGCTGTAAAGAAAAAAAAAAGTTTTAAGCCCAAAGGAATTGAAAAGGCCCCAAAAAATTACAGAACATAGAAAAAAATAAAAAATAATAACAAACAGAAAATTAAAAAAAAGAGAGAGAAGAGTCAGACTAAAGAGTCAAAACCGAAAGTCACCACCCACCAGGGCCTCTTCTCTTCTTTTTCTTCTTCGAGTCTCCCGCAACTGCCGCAGATCACCATCCTTTTATGTACCTTTTCCCCTCTGGTGTCCATTTTTCCGGTCTGCTTTCTTCTGGCACCAGGGCCTCTCATCTGTCTTTCTTTTTTTCCCGTTCCCTTCCCTCCTCGAGTGTTCCACCTCACTGTCAATCCCCTGGCACGAACAAGTGTTCTTTCTTCCCCCTGAGTGCTAGGGAGCGTTTGTTGTGTTTCACCCTCCGTCTCTACTATTGACCCCTCCCCGTCACCATGGGTCTCTTTAAGCGCAAAGACTCTAAGAACTCGATTCAAAGCGAGAAGGAGGATTTCGACTCGACCGTAACCGTCAACAGTGCTCGTACCTCCAATGCATCATTGAGATCGCCCGGTTATAAAGGAAGTGGGCTGCCTGCCTCCATCCCAGAACTACCCATCGCCAAACCACCTGATCCGGCCCTCGATCCAGCGGCCTACCTGCGGAGTATCCATGCTGTCCGTGAGCGCTGCAGCCTTGTTTTGAACAAGGCCAAGAGAAATAGACTCAACCACTTTGATGTGGATATGGGCAAATTCATGGCCACTGCATCTTACATTGTCTCCATTATCAAGGTACATACTATATGCTTCAGCCCTCTCGGCCAAAAAGATTAGCCAGTCCCTCTATTCCCTCTCAGGTTTGCTAATTAGAGCTATCGTTTGCAGAGAGATTATGGCCCGGACTACGACTCCATTCCTCCTCATGGCCGTTGGCAACACTTCGACGTGGGTGGACGACCCCGCGTTAACCAATTGCTCCAGTCCTGGCCCAGTACCATTGATGCGCAGGAGCGCACCCGGCGATTGATTGACCTTTTCGTTGTTTCCGTCCTTCTCGATGCTGGTGCAGGTACCAGGTGGTCATACAAGTCGAAGGAGTCCGGCAAGATCTATTCGCGGAGCGAGGGTCTGGCCGTGGCCACCTTGGAAATGTTTAAGAGTGGTTTGTTCAGCAGCGATCCGACGGAGCCTTGTCAAGTGGATGGGGCAGGTCTGAAGAAGATCACGGTCGAAGTACTCGCAAAGGGAATGCAACACTCCGAAACCAACCCCTTGGCGGGAATTGAAGGCCGAGCTGGTCTTCTGATCCGACTTTCCGAGGCCCTGAACAACCAAGATTTCTTTGGGGTAGATGCTAGGCCAGGCAACATGCTCGGTAAGGCTTTATTCGATGAAGGGTCGCTGGGATCTCGACTAACATAACATCGTTAGACTACCTCCTTTCTCATCCGTCTACACTTGCTTCGTCGGTTCCAATTGTGCCTATCACCACGCTCTGGAGTGTTCTTATGGATGGATTGTCTCCGATCTGGCCGCCATCCCGCACACAGATTGATGGGCTATCTATCGGAGACGCCTGGCCGTGCTCCGATCTCCCCAAGTCTCCCCCTGCGAAACCCTGGGAGAGCATCGTCCCATTCCACAAGCTTACGCAGTGGCTGTGCTACTCTATCATGGTGCCCATGTCGAAGCTGATGAAGATCCATTTCGCCGGCAGTGAACTGCTTACGGGTCTACCCGAATACCGGAACGGCGGTTTGCTGATTGACATGGGTCTGTTGACTCTGAAGGAACACGATTTGGAGCGGGGTATTGCCGCCTACAAGGAGAATGCGCAGATCAAGGGCCAACCCAACGTGGAAGTTGTACCACTCTTCTCCACGGATGACGACGTTGTCGTTGAATGGCGGGCTGTGACCGTTGGGTTCCTGGATGAGCTACTGGATGAAGTGAACGGTCAGCTTGGACTGACGGGAGACGATCAGTTGACCCTTGCACAGATGCTTGAGGCTGGATCCTGGAAGGTATGTGATAATTTTATCCCTGCACTCATTGTTTTACGTGGGCGACATTTGCTGATGCAGAAGTAACAGGGTGGCCGTGAGATTGCCGAAGTGTCGAGACCCAACACGAAAGAACCTCCGATCATGATCCGTTCCGATGGCACTGTTTTCTAATGATCGCATATCTGTTGATGTTTTGGATACCTGACACCGCCAGTCGACGCCCGTTCCACGGCTGGTGGTCGTGCTTACGACTTTGATGACCGGATGTTTATGCGTCTTACTACTTTCGTGCCCATTGCCTGTGGCTCCCCCTTTTTTTCTGTTCGTTTTGTACAAAGGTCTCTGCTGCGGCACCTGGCCGACTTTATACCTAATTTCTTCTGTAGGATCATCGTGAAGAGATGATCGTCTACCTTTCCTGTACACAGTTCCTTGGGCCCTTTTTACCTTCTTGCCTATATTTGGATGGAAATGTGATCATAAAAGTTTACCTGGCTAGGATTAGTCTTTCCGCCAGCAGTCTCAATCCTGACTATTATCCTTGGAAAAGGAATTATTATGGAGATAGTGTCTTTGCTAGTTTGATAATGTTTTGGTTCTAGTTAATCCACTATGGATGAAGTGGAGCCTGATGATTGGCAAACCCCCCTTCCGTGCAGAAAGTCTAATAACAATGGAGGCACATGGGAGGAATGTGGATGAACGCCACCTCCGTGGACGATTTCCAAGGCAAGGGGGGAAGGAGATGGATAGTTCGGTGAGAGGGACAATACATTACTCGCATCACTGACCGTGCACTCTGCATCCCATCCACCTTCAATGTCAGCAGCCCTGGGTGGACCGTGCGCTCTCCACGTGATGGGACCGGAACATTATTAATCCCGGGAAGAAGCTCATGCAATGACGCCCGGAAGGCTGGTCATCCGGCTGCTGCTGCTCCTTCTGTCCAACCAACCACCCTCGCCCATTCATTGCCTGTGGAGATCGTTACCTCCCTCGACTTGCAGGGTCCTACTGCATCCCATGGGCTGGAGGTATTTATGCGGATGCTAAATCCCACATCTCTTCACGGTTGCCATCCATCTGAACGATCACCAGCCCCGTAAGTGCGGGGTACGGTTAACGGATAGCTCCGGGGAACTGCCACAATGGATATGCGCAAGAAGAAGAGAAAGGTCCTCTTGATGGGCAAAAGTGGATCTGGAAAATCGTCGATGCGCTCAATCATCTTCAGCAATTATGTTGCGAAAGATGTCCGACGCCTGGGTGCTACCATTGATGTCGAGCACAGCCATGTCAAGTTCATGGGGAACCTCACGCTGAACCTCTGGGATTGCGGAGGGTAAGTCGCAGTCTCAGGCATTTCTCGAATCATTGCAGTGTCTAACCCGAAATGCTCTTTACCATAAACAGACAGGATGCATTCATGGAAACATATCTCGCGTCTCAGCGAGGGAACATCTTCTCCGACGTCGCGGTCCTGATCTACGTCTTCGACATTGAATCCCGCGAGGTCGAGCGCGATCTTGACACCTACAACGCCATCATCAACGCCCTGAAAGAATACAGTCCCAATGCCTACGTGTTCTGCCTTGTACATAAACTGGATCTCATCCAAGCCGAGCACCGCCAACGCATCTACGAAGAACGGTCCGCCTTAATTCGCAGTCGTTCGGAGCATTTCAGTATCGACACCTTTGGCAGTAGTATTTGGGATCAATCGCTCTACAAAGCGTGGGCCGGCATTGTCCACAAGCTTATTCCAAACTTGACTGTCATCGAGCGCTTCCTGCAGGCCTTCTCCAAGCGAATTGATGCCGAAGAAGTCATCCTGTTTGAACGGTCAACCTTCCTCACCGTAACTTCCGTTTCCTCAGAAGTAGGCGACTTGAACCCCATCTATGATCGCCATGAACGACTCTCCAACATCATGAAAGCCTTCAAGCACTGTGCGGCGCGGAACACTCACACAACCCCTGCATCTGCCGGGTTCGTTGTCATGCACACGAAGACTCCGCAATTCAACGTCTTTCTCGGCCGCTTCACGGACAATACATACATTTTTCTGGTTGTACCGCCGGGCGAGGCAGCCTACAATTGCGCCGTCCTAAACACCATGCTAGCTCGAGAGGGCTTCTCCAAAGCCGCCGCAACCGGTCACGGGGACGGATTCCCCCTCCCTGCGGCCGAATCCCCGGACAACAGCAACGGGACCCATTGATTTGACTCCTCGACCGGCCGCCACCGGCCATTATTCAAATCAGCCAAGCACTCCACCAAATATGAAAGGGAAAACGGACCCGTACGCCTTATGACGAAAAAGAAACGCAAAACAGCATCTCACTTCGCTGCACCCAACGAACCAATTACCTATTAGCCAGCGTCGCCTACACGGCATTCTAACCTACGAAAGCTATGAGCAGAAGAAATGTGTGAGTAAGTACGTAATGCAAAACCAAAACAAATCTGTTTTATTAAAAGACAAAGATACCCTACTTAGCATGCATGGCATTCTATATGTATGTATACTGTTCTTTCTTCTCTCTCTCGCACTTTCAGACTCTCCATATCATATCATATCATATCATATCATACCATATCGATCTTTCTCATCTGGATCCATACTTTTATTACTATTTGTAACATGCTGGTCCTTGTGTTCCACGGCTAGTGAAAAGTTATTGTCTTCATTTCCTTATGACTGTCTCCACTGACTCACTCACTCACCTGCTCATTGATGTACTTGTTTCTCACACATCTTCTCAGTCCATATCTATTGGTTCTATATTACATGGTCATTGCGTCTATATGTTGGAAAAAAAGAAAAGGATGAAGAAAGAGGAAGAAGACGAGGATGTGAGAGACCGGGAACCGCGGAATAAAAATGCAGCAATACATGGAACCATGGTATATACTACTAGCGGCAGTAAATACAAAGTATTGAAGTAGTAAATTTGGGTCGTTCCCTTCAATTGGTTCCAGTCCCGTGATCTAGACATTGCTAGTACTCACTAAGTGCGTAGTTATAAGGCAATGGCGAGGTTTCTGTGGTATATCATGTCACGTTCACGTTGCCTGAGGCCAAGAGAGAACTGCTTTTTGCAACATTCCTACTACTATCATATTGCCCGATGATCATGTGCCAGTGAACCCATCTGTACAAGGAGTACACTCCATCAATAGATAGATGATCCATGCTTGATGTAAAAAAAGGGAAGAAAGTATATCTATTGAATGAAAACTAGAGAAAAAAAGATATAGAAAGAAGAAAGAAAGAAACGCTTTAAATCATTGTACATCTGGCATGCGGACAGCAATGTCGCCTGATTGTGTTATATATCGCACCCATGGGAGAGAGGGGTATTGTAGCTGCATTCATCGGGTCATTCGTTAGCATTCATTCATGCATTCATTTCATTGCATTGTGCTTGTGTGACGAGACTGCCAATCCGACTGATGGTGGTCGGGGAGTCACGAGAGTTGACATGGGATAAATGGGCATACCTTAGGTTCCGTGATCTTCAAGTACCGGACTTGGATACCGCTAGTAGTGAAGTAAGGGATTTCGAATTTGACGTTGATCGGCCGCTTTGCCTTGCCCTGCCCGGTTCCACCCATGCTACCTCCGAAACCACCGGTCATGCCACCACCGTGCTCGTCGTCGCCCTTTACGGACGGCAGCCCCAGCTCTGCGCGCATGAGGAACTCCTTGCCTCCGCCGAACTGCTTGATCTTCCAGATGATGGCGGACTTCTCGGGCGCGTAGTGCACGGTTCCGATGTTGGTGCGGAAACGGGGGGAGTCGGCGTCTTCCGGGACTGGAACGAGGATTTCTACGTTGTTGGCAGTGCTGCGGCGCTTGAATTGGGCCTTGGCCTGTTAGGGAGAGATGGTGTTAGCTTGGTCGTTTTGTTTCTCTTGATGGGTATAGGTGGAGTATTGGCCGTACCTTCAACATGTACTCCATGCGCGATCCAGAGTGCGATTCCACCAGACATTCCACCCAAATCAGGGGCTTGACTTGGGTGTTCAACCGGTAGCTCATCAGCTCGAATTCGCCATCCGGGGGAATGAAGCTAATGGTGCGGTCATTTTCGAATCGAGAAAGACGGACACACTGGTGGAACTTGACGTCCTCCATCTCGACGGCCTTTCCTCTCGTTGCGCGACCCGTGGTCTCGAACATGACCTTGTCGTTCAAACCCAGACGAAGTTCCGGCATACCACTCAGATAACACTTCATCTTGATAGCTCCGAGAATCTCCGATCGCAACACGTTACCAGACGCGGACACGAGGAGGTTAAGGGACTCCACAACATCAAGGAAGACTTCGTTCTTGCGGTACCGGATACCCTCACTTCGCCATGACACGGCATTGGTGACAGCAATGGGTGGTCGGGCTTGGATCTCCAGCTTGTGTGATTCTTGGGTAATGTATCTGCCATGGACTCGTTAGCTGTGATCCTCCATCGCTCCTGGTCGCATAGATGGGCCCGTCATACTCTTGCAATATCTTGCTCTCCGTCGTCTGCGGGTAGCCAAAGTCCATCATCTCATCAAGCAATTCATAAATGATGACAAAGTTATCACGGATACTCTCCTCCTCCAGTACCTTGAAGTATTCCGTGAATACCTCCACGATCTTGTGTAGGAAAAGGAGAATCTCGGTGGCATTGGTGTTCTTCTTGGTCAGGGCAAGGATGTAAAGGTTGCTGTGACGGATGTAGAGGTACTAGACAAGTCGTATTCTCAGCAATTGACCTCCTTTATTCTGCGTTCCTTTCTGAGGATGCGCGCAGGGCTGATGTGGGAGATGGTAGACACAGCGGGTTGCGGGGAAACGGCGGGGGGTAGATGCAGGTGCGCCGCCGCAGCCACAAGTCGGAGACACAAATACGTACGTTAATTCCTTCGTGGGAAAAGCACGGAGCTACGGCGGAGCTCTCTTCTTCGGCGTCACTAAGGAGGATGGGAAATTTCTCGACTGCGGACATGGGGATGTCTCCGCGGTAGTTTCGGGCTAGAAGGGTCTAAATAAACGGTCAGGTTCCAGGGGATCACGGCGGAATTGTTCGTGACAGCGCAACCTTCCACGGGGGGTTTCATACCTTGCCCTTGAGATCGAGAAAGAAGATGGCCGACGCCATCGCGAGGGTATTCGAAGGGAGGTCGTGGGTGGAAGAGTAAGGTGGAGGTTAAATGGCGCGAGTATCGAGGAGGTGAGTCGGGCAGGTACTGGAGGACTAAATGGGGCGGGAGGCTCCTGGGCGAGATTCAACGGGAGAGGCCAGCGAAACCACTAGTTCAACATGCTGGACTTGCGGGGAGGTAGCTGTGGGACAGTGTGCATTAGAGATAGCTCAGAAGCACGTTGAAATTGGGGAAACTGTAAAACCCAGAGCCGGAGAACTCACAGGAAGCTGCAGAAGGAGGAGGTCTTGGCCGACGTGCCTGCGATGAGACTGGAAGGGAACGAATATCATGCAAGACTAAGACTGACTTGAACTGATGATGCGGCCATCGGGGATGCTCTGCCTTTCCGCGTGGTATTGTTCTATACACAATACACCGCCAGACAAAGAGCTTGTGGCGGGGTAACTTACCTTAACCTGGTCACATCAGTGTATCAAAGTGTATCAATGCCTCAGGGGTCTCTAATCAAAGCGCTAAGCCTATTCGAGAGATCCGGCCAGTCCAGATCTCCACTAGACCTGATGAAGCCTAGCGCTGGTCACGCGCGCAGAATATATTTCGGCCGTCGCAAGCGAATTCTCTTCCTCTTCTTTTCTTTTCTTTCTTTGTACCATACGCCCTTCCTAGACAGTGCAAGGCAGCTCAAATTGCTTTTTTGTGATTTCTGGGTTCTTCCGTGACATTCTGTCGTGGAGTTCCTGGTTTTTCATTGCTGACTTTGCGATACAAAGGTGCGAAGACTAGGCATCGTTTATACGAGGGTTCCATAAGAGCTGGCCGGGTATTTTGCTTACTGTTACCCGGGCGGTGTCAGAGGAACCGTACATACTTTTGGATATCTACTTTATTTGTTAGGAAATTTGATAATGGCATGCCATGCGAACCGAATCCTGAAGATCCCATAGACATACAAGTGTAGTAAATGTAAGAGAGAAGACAGAACTTCCGGTGGTATTTGCAGTCACTATATAAGACAAGTCGTAGATAAAAATACATAATATATGGCGGATGAAGGAAAGCCCCAACACATACACAGAACATCCAGGGCACAAAGAAAACAAGGGGAAGGGGAAAAGAGAAAAGGAAGTAACGCCTTGAAAATGCACCTGCGGCCATTTCCCATGAATCAATCACCCAACTCAAGCCGCGATCTTAAATCCCAGAGGTGCTAATATGCGCTCACGGGCCACCTTGTTCGCAACAGCATTGCCCTTCTCCAGGGAGATGGCACCAATCACAGCGTACATCGTGTGGGCGAGAACGAGGTCCATTCCAGAGCTTTCGAGGTTGTTGGGCTACACGTGAACACACCGCTGTTAGCAGGGGATTCAATTGACCGACTGGCGAGACGATATCAGAAGCCCAGCAGCGCAAGGCGTTCGAATATCGTTTCAATGCATGGGACTCCTAGACTCACCTTCCGAGGGCACCATCTCACAACTCTCTGCATGTCATACTTGTGAGCCAATTCCGACAGCTTCGTCTTGCTCGTAAGGAAGCTCTTCGTGTTGTAGTCGAGGTTGTCCAGGCTATCCAAAGCCGGGTGAGTGAAGGGGACCCGGCCATACGCATCGGGGGTGGCAGAGTTAGCAGCGTTGCTAGGACTCTGAACCAGAGCCAACGAAGCCTGCAGCTGAACAATACGCTTGCCTGTGTACAACCCCATCCGGATTAGTATCCAATTCTGTTACCATTCATTGCACAGCAATATTTGACATACCCAGGAAGGCCAAACGGTCATTGAAACCTCTCCGGCCCTGGTCAAAACTCTTGTGTGTCACTGCGAGCCACTTGGTCTCCTCCGAGAGCATCTTGTCACCGTCGTTTCCGAGCATGAGGATGTAGAACCGGTCCAGAACCTTGGGGTCAGAGTTCACGGGGAACTCGGGGCGGTTGGAGTTGAGTCTCAAGGAGAACGGTGCTTTGGCACGAGGCGGCGTGTACGACCACCGGGGCTTGTCCGCATGCTTGACTGCTGCATCTTCGGTGGCCGTCGAGAGTCCTCGCCGCGGAAGGAGACCGGCTGCGATCGAGTTGGGACGAGCGAGGGAGCGGCATGCGGAGCAGGAAGCGGTCCTGACCGCGCGAGTCGATAGTACGGAAGCCATTGGAGAGAGGAAGGGCCGGAATCCGGAGTGGTGGGTGAGAGGGAGGAGGTCGCCAGGCCGGGTCTTTTTCCACGATTGATGGCGGCCATCAATGATAATAATTCCTTTGGAGGAGGAAGAATTCGGAGACGTGGCGCTAGTCCCGATCAGGATAGCCGCTCAGTTCTCCGGCTCGCCCGCCAAATCTGTAGTTTCAAACAATGGATAGAGAGCCACCCTATGAAACCAACCTCTATATCGATTCATGACAATTATTTCAGTACCATCAACTGTGTTTCAATGATCAGGCACCTTTGCCTACCAGTTACTACTCGGAGCCCATCCCCATTCTATCCGGTGCGCTCGAGCCATCAACACCTTAGCCGTATGGATCTAGAACAAGAGCATCGCTTCACAAAACTTGGAATCGGTGGTAATGTGTAGGCTAATTGTTGTACGGGAGGCCCATGCAACTACTTTACATATTATTCAAGACCAACTATCAGTCGTCGGTGACGAGTGTCGCGAGGAGACACGGAAAAATACATGCCACCAACTGCCAAACTTGACTCCCGCATTGACTTCCCCAAGAGCAACAGTATGCACTGTAAGGCAAAAGGCAAGGATGCACCATAGTACCAAGTGAGCAAGACTGTTGGAGGACAAGCCATGCCTCACGGGAAGCGCGCCAGCCTAAAGCATATTTGCCGTCTGGGCTCCCGTTGTACAGCTCGCGGGAACCAGCCAGAAAAGTACTAAATGACTAACAGTTTCCATAATGCTTCTATTCAGAAAGGAGACGCTGATCTGTAGGTACCTGGCCATAACCTGCGGCGCGGAATTCTACACCGCAAAGTTGAGC